AAGACTTGAAGGCACATACACACAGAGGGAATCAAATAGCATGAAACCAGTTGTGATGGCACAGTCAGCATTTGGATGTTGCAGAACTCTCTTTATAAGCAGGTAATCAATAACATTCATACTATATAACAGAAGTGTAGAATAATGTTTGAATAGGTGTGGGGACTGACTTGGTATATTGTATAAAATGTTTGAAATACATCTGGCCGTCACTATTATCACCTAAAAAAATAATATGGTGATATCATTCTATGTTCAGCCTTCTTGTTTTTAAAATACTGTTTGAAAAACGTGTTTGTCAAGAGCATGCTTCTAATAGCTTCTGCTCCCTTGAGTTATTTCCTTGTCTAACTTTCCCCTAAGGTACAGTGGTTTTATAATTAGGTGTATACTCCTTGATGTAACTGTTGCATCATGTAATGCGTAATATTATTACTATAAAGACCTTTGCCTTCCCCTTTTATAGACAAATAATAGTTTGCTTCACAATGCCTTGTTGTTTAGTCATTAAGTTGTGTCCAACCCTTCATGACCCCATGGATCAGAGCATGCCAGGCCCTCCTGTCTTCCACTGCCTCCCGGAGTTTGGTCAAATTCATGTTGGTCGATTTGGTGACACTGTCCACTGTCCATTTCACAATGCCTAGAGAAAGCTGAATTAAACCAAAGCAGTGTGATGGCTAATGGTTAAACTGGAGGACCCTAGGATTAGGAGTTATTATTTTCTAGTCTTCCACCTAACTTTCCTTACTTCAGTTTCTCTGCTTCTTCATGGTTTTCTTTGACATCTGGTGCAGTGCTATTATTAAAGGACAGGATTACCAAACAGGAAGTGGTTATTTCCCAGTCTCTATCATGCTTGAGCCCGCCCTGTTGAAATGGTATAGCACTTACTCCTCCTCTTAAGCTGAATTGTATAGTATCTAAGGCTGACCAAGCTATGTGGACAATTAAGGTTAAAAAAAAGCCCAAAAAGAAAACACACCCACAATTGTCTCTTCCTGCAAGTTAAAATACAGTATACCAGTAATAAATAATTTGCTATCTTCATGACACACAAAATTAACTTCTAAATGACTGCTCAACTCACTGCCTAAAACTCACCAGAGAGACATAAGAAAGCTATTGTGTAGCCCCTCAGCTGTAGTTTGAGGTTAGTTATCTACTTACACAACAAGGTTTGCTGCAAGAAGTATGTGAAATACAAATGCTCTTGGAAGGGATGTGTAAATATCAAGCGCTGTTTCTGAAAATAAGCAGTGCTAGTATTGCTTAGCTATCCCATGCCTTTGTCAATATGCAAAGGGTGTTGAGTAAGTGCCATTAAAAACAGAGTGCATCTCTTATAGTGTTGATCACAGAAGTAGCTGGGAGATAGCCTAGTCCTAGATACGGATGAAGGATGAGACTCCTTTCTCCTTATATGATTTGTAAGTACTGTATTCCCCCCCCCAAAAAAAAATAACAGTGCAAATGTGGTGTCCTTAAAGTAAATATTTGCTTCCATTCTACTTCTAAATGACCAATCAGCTTCTGTAGCTGAAGAAGGAAGTCTCCCCTCACCTGGTCTCCATTTTAATTTATTTTATTGTGTTGATTCTCCAAATATATAAGCTTGTGATAGGTCTGTTTTAAAAGGTTTCTGTTTAACTTTGGTTGTGAATAACTTCCTTAAAAATCTGCACATTCACCTGATTCCCCCATTTTGTAACCATTGCTATGGAAAGAGTGTTATGGAGCCATGACTGTAGTTCTTTCTTAGCAACTTTCTCAATACTTCTGATCTGTACCCTCATATTCTACAATTGTTTCTGCAGCCATAAAATCTACATATACACCGTGCTTTAAAATGAATGAATGAGTGGATGAATGAATAATTAAATAAATAAATAAACACACCCCACCCCCGTATACCGTGGCATACAACCTTGTTTGTAGCATCCATTGTTAGAAATCTAAAATTGCCATATATTGGCCTCTGTTCATTAGTTTGGTAAAATTGCATGTTACATAAGAAAGATCTTTCTACCAAATCCAGTGTAAGGAAGGAACTAGTAAATACATTGTCAAAGTGTTGTGAAAATGAACATTTCTTTGTTTACTGAAATCTCTATAAAACTCAACAACATAACAGAGCAAAAAGGGGGAGTTGTTCTGTTGACCGACTGGAGTCCTAAAATACCTTTATCCTGCAGGTAATTTGTGCTGGCAATTGAGTTAAAGAGCCAATTGTCATTTAGTAAATTAAATAATTTGACAGTACATTTGTGGATAGAATTTTAAAAAGGCAGAATGACTCCTGGTTATGAGACCACCTGTGTCAGTTCAGACGTGATTTCACAAATGGCTTGTGGTAGCAGAAAGAAAAAAAAGCATGAGTGTTTGCTCTTGTGAGCACATTTTGGGAACCAGTGGTTAGAGATGGGGGTATTTGTATGAATATTCCCGTGCAGCTGGACTTAACGAGTGGGGCCGGACTGTCCAGTCATGTGCCCAGCAGCAGCCTTGCTCATCCTTCTAATCACTCCCAGAGCACCGCTCTCTTCCCGCTGGGCTAGCCACTTGGCAGCTGTGCAGGGAGACTCATCCTCCGCCCCACTGCCTGGAGTGGCTAGCCCAGCGGGAAGAGAGCAGCACCTCAGGAGTGATTGGAAGGATGAGCGAAGACGCCAACACCCCTGGACGCATGAGAGGATGGTCCAGACCCTTGTTAAGTCCAGGTGTGCAGGGATATTTCTATTCGTATACGAATACCCCCATCTCTACCAGTTGCATATGATCCCTCCTGGATAGAAGCCAGCCTTTGATGAGTCTTAGAGCACTGTAAAAATTAATCCTTATTGTTGGATTGTTTCATAAAGTTTGTGGAAAGTTATCTACAAACATATTATACATATGATGAAATACTTAAGAAAATATTCTCGGAATACAGCAAATTTTAACTATGTTACACATTTTACTCAATTTACAGCTAGTCTATTAAAGACAGGAGTAGGAAATATGTAGATTTGCTTAACTGCAACTCCTACCAGCCTTAGCCTGCTTAGGTCTTTTGATGGCTGACAGGAGTTTCAGTCCAACATTTCAAGGGTCACATGTTCCCTGTACTGCACCTATAGCATAGTAAGTCATAGCTAGAGTAGGCCAATGTGAATCAATGGAACTTAAGGAGGAGCTGACTTACCAAATCTGTATGAATTTAGTGAGCCTACTCTAATGTGACTTACAACACTAAGCAAAACAATTTTGGCCAATGTGTGTAAAATGCTTTGAATGCCTTGAAAGTGCTGTGAAAGTGCTAACTGTTTTAGTGTTCTCCTGTCCCTTACTGTTAGGCTTTACCAGCTTTGTTATAGAGGTGGGGCTTGCAGGATAGAAGCACTGAGGCTTTTTAGTTCAGCTACTTTTGGCAATTGGGAAATTTTTTGTATATATAGCAAGTGAAATTAACCTGGAACATTTATAGCAACTTTTGTTTGCTAAATAGCCTTACATGCTATATCAGACTGATTTTAATATTGTAGAAAATTTAGGATTGTAAAATTTTCAAATGCCAGAAAATTAATCTGAAGGCTCACTCAGCATTTGTTGTGCTGCAGTGGTGAACTTCTTTTCCCAGTGAACACACAATGCAATTGCTGGTGCAGACTGGTTCATTCTAGTTTAGTCCATTCTCAGCATATGCAATTGCTGGAAATGGATTAAAAATTGAGCCTTGCTCTGAGACTGCTAAATTAACTTTGACTATTGTCAGGTTTGCATATATGTAGCACCAGGATCATTCAAATGAATAAGACTTACTTCTGAGTAAACACAGGTTGACGGGTTGTATCTCAGCACTAAATCCAGTCCAGCCCTTCATCTCTTCAGCTGCAGAAAAAAAATCAACTTCTAAATTCCCTGTTTGCAAAAGGCAGTGAGTGGGGGTGTGCTCCCCACCAGCTCTCCTTGCTGGAAATGGATTGAAAATTTAGCCTTGCTCTGAGACTGCTAAATTAACTTTGACTATTGTCAGGTTTGCATATATGTAGCACCAGGATCATTCAAATGAATAAGACTTACTTCTGAGTAAACACAGGTTGACTTGGGTTGTATCTCAGCACTAAATCCAGTCCAGCCCTTCATCTCTTCAGCTGCAGAAAAAAAATCAACTTCTAAATTCCCTGTTTGCAAAAGGCAGTGAGTGGGGGTGTGCTCCCCACCAGCTCTCCTTTCCTCAGACCATAGGCAACTCCATATGCATCTATGGGAGGGAATTTCCTTCATTTTGGAGACCAGGAACCAGATGGACCTGTTTAGTGGGAGTCAAGCTCATCTGGTTTCTGGGGCAAATATTGCTGAGTAAAAGCCCACTGCGTCACCCACCTCTGTTTAATAATGGAAATTTGTAAGAACCAGATTGACAGCTTGTTTACTTTGAATTAAAGTCCCATGTGGGACAAGTCCTCCTCTTTTCGCTCAGGACCTCAGCCTGAATCTCTCTGGAGAGAATGAGGGGAGATGGGATGAGAGCTGCTTTCAGCAAATGCCAAGCCCACCCAGATTCCTTGAAGTTGCCAGAAGGGTGAAGATGTGTCATTTGGATGTGAGGATCATGCCAAATAGCATATCACTCCTCTCTTTCCCAACCCCAAGCGACCATATTTAGACTGCACCAGTCCACATCAAAACGACCAATGCAGTTAGTTGCACCCTGATTTATCATGTTAGGCCCCTACTTTGTAAACAGTTTTTTAAAAGTTTTTGGATTCAACATTCTATAGAAAAACAAATCAGTGGCTGGTACAAGCAAAGATACATGCTTAAATGCTTGGTATCATGCATTTCCTCCCCTCTCCCAAAAGTGTATTTGTTTTTCTCACTCTTCTGTTAAAATCTCTGAATCCTGCTAAGGCAAGATATATCATAACAAGAGCTTGCCTACAAAGCTTTTCATACCTAACATTGCATCTACCACTACAGAAAGATCAAAGGCTATTTCTAGCTTTGTTATCTTTCAGAGAATGAAGGTTCAGCTCACTGGTCAGAACCTGCATCCCAAACAGCTACCACTGAAGGAGATGAATGTTTGCCATGCAGGTAGGAAATATGTGTGTGCGATGAATATGTATCTAAATTTACTTTCAAGAGAGCAAAAATAAAGGACACTCTTCATCTCTCATAGCTTTCTGTGATGGGGGATCTCACAATCAGCTTTTGTCCATCAGAGTTAAAGTAGAAAAAAACTTATGTGAAATACTTCATTCTGAAGTATTGTTTTAGAGTACTCCAATTTTCTGCTTTAATGTAAGATGGGGAAACTGTTTGTTTGAATTAAAAAATAGGCTTGCCCAACTTGGAAGAACTGACTTTGTAATCTTGGTTGTAGAGAATATGTGTAAATTCCACTCTGCTTCTTTATTGGTGAGATTTTCAGTGCTGACACACTGATTCAATAATACATATGGGCTGAATTCCAGTATGTAATAAGTTGCAACTAATGTAGGCCCATAGAATCAACCTAGATTTAGTGAATGAACTCCTCTGTAAATTCCATTGATTTAATAAGCCTACTTTAGTTGTGACTTACTGCTGGATTTCAGCCATTAGTCAGTCATACAGTACAACATACTCTGAAAAAGAGAGAGAAGGGAATGAATTGGGCCAAATACAGTATACTTCCTCTTCTATTTACTGAGGGAGCACAGTGTTGTTAAAAGCAATCAAGGGTAATCCTGGCATACAACATTTGTATCACCAAGGAAACTAAAATCCTTGTTGCCTCTGTAATTTTGTCACCATCTAGGAATGTTGCTTGTAGTCTTACAGAGTTTGGAGAACAGTGCACCTGTTTGATTGTAATTTCATATTCTTTTATGAAAGACATTCAGTAGACTTGCTTAGCTAAGACAAGGTAGTCATCATGGCTAAGACCAAGTTTAAGTTTTGATTTCTCATTTTCTATCTAAATTTGTTGCTAGAACATGTTTCACTTTTCAACATGGTTATGGCCACATCTATAGACAGAAGATGATACTGTCACTGTAGGTTTATTAATTTTAAAAAACATTGTTAAATCTTTCTCACCTATTCTGTAACAGTGAATATTAGGGCAGAATTGAATCAAGAAATGCAATGCTGCAAAAAACTATGGGACAATGAAATACAATACAGTATAAAATCAGCAGTGGTAAATCAGAGCAGACTTGAGTACTTGCCTAGGTCTTAACTTGGTGCTGAAATGTGCCCTATGACAGTAAGGCCAACATGTAAGGTAGGGTGGATTACATGCCAGTAGGGCTATAGCCAAGAAGGCTCTTGTCAGTTGCTAATCACTAGTTTAGTCTGCACAACAGCAGTGGCAAATATGGTAGAGCCACTTGCCTTGATGGATCCTCTAGGATCCCTTGAGCTTGGTGAATGTTATGTGATAACATCAGCATGCATGGAGCACTACCCACAGAGACATTCTTCAGTAAGATGGAATTTGTGAAGAGGGTATTGTCACTGGTCTTTGCCTTTACTTGTTTGTTTCTCTCTTTTTATATACAACACATCAAAAACTTGTTACCGTATTTTTCGCACCATAAGACGCACTTTTTTCCCACAAAACAGGGGGGTGGAAAGTCTGTGTGTCTTATGGAGTGAAGAAAACAGATTATATTTTCCTGTTTTCTTCTCCTAAAAAATTGGTGCGTCTTATGGAAAAGTGCGTCTTATGGAGCGAAAAATACGGTAAATTAAAAAACTTGTTAAATTGATTTGTCATGCTGTGAAAAATGAGAGAAAACATGTTTTGCGTGCAGAAGATCTCCAGCTGAATTGGTTCTTATTTGAGATGATTTTACACAGCAAGGCTAAGAAGACATCTGCTCGCAGCCTTGGACCACTACTGCCAATTACATTGAAGTGGACTATAATGGTGTAGATGGAACCATTGTTTGACTTGATATAAGGCACTTTATGTAGTTGTTTGAAGCTTAGTGCAGTGGTCAGATTTGGAGGATGAGGGGTTGGCAGGGACAGGAACTTACAGCTGTAATAAGCTCTTTAGCAAGACCATTTGGCTGTCCCTTTGCTGTTACCTGTAAGCTGTACAGTATTTGCATACGATTTTTTAAAGAATAGTTCTATCTGAGATATGGAAAATTTTCAGCTCAAGTAAAAAATAATTCTGGTGTGTTTGGAAATTAAACTACAGTGTCTAATTCAGCTTGAGAGTTGGGTGCAATTTGTTAAAGCTAGTGTTTACAAGGCAACCCTTCTATGAGGCGACGTTAAAGGACACAGCTGGGGTAAATTTTTGCTTCCTTTGGGAATACAGTGCAGCATAATAATTCATTCTTCCTTTAGCTTCTGTTAGATGTGACAGAAAAATATGTGCCACAGAATCCCATTCCTTAAGCTCTTCAAGTCCTCTTCTAAGCCCAATTTATGATTCTCCCAGTAGGATGTAGTTTCTTTTGTTTCACCTGCTAGTTTAACACTTTTAAATCTTGAACTGATGTGTGTTCTTTCTCTGAGAGGCTGCAGAATGCATCTGCTATAAATGCAGATACAACAAAGGATTCTGAAGGTGCTGGTGATAATCTGAAGGAGCAAGATGTAGCAGGAAAGAAGAGCCTGACTAAGCCACAAAAAGAGGTAGGGGATTTCTTTCATGGTAACAAGGTTCCAAAGACATGTGTTCTAAATTGAGATAGAAATATGCACACAGTTGGATTTCTATAAGTGTAAAATAAATAACAACAACCAGAACTAACCCCTGTGGTAGTGGGGAGAGGCAGGATGAAGCAGTGATAGCTAGACTGAGCTGTGAAACATTTTTCCAGATTAATATAGTTATTATGGGACATCACGGCAAATGTTTCAGCCTCTATTATAAAGCACTGACTGTTTTGTTAAAATACTTAGAAACAGCTTATAAATCAGGGCAAGTTGTAATAACCAGTTGGAGTTACGTACATTACTAGCAATATGTATCTAAACTAATTATGTTAAATTAAGATTAAATAAAATATAGGCATGCTCCTATATGTATTCTGTGAATGTGTTTGAACTGAAAGTTTATATGTACCTTGACTAGCATATAGTTACAACCATATGCTGGCAAATAAATTTTGATTTATGCCAACCATTTCAGAGTTTAGAACGTTGAATATTTATGAAATTCTATCTTGTTAGTAATCCTTCTGTCATCTGCTGAGTTTGTGCCTGTGGTGCTGCATGCAATACTTGCATTATAAAGCTATACTTATAGTAAAAAAAAAGTATGGAAAGCTACACTTAAAGTAACTTATTTGCTTTTGATTTTCCTTAAAAAGTAAATTTTGGAGTTGGAAATTATTTTTTAAAAGGTAGTTCTATAATTTTTAAGGCTTAGTAAAGGTAAAGGTTCCCCTTGACATTTAGTCCAGTCGTGTCCAACTCTAGGGCGTGGTACTCATCCCCATTTCCAAGACATAGAGTCAGCGTTTGTCCGTAGACAGTTTCTGTGGTCACATGGCCAGCACGACTAGACATGGAACGCTGTTACCTTTTCACCGAGGTGGTACCTATTTATCTACTTTCATTTGCATGCTTTTGAACTGCTAGGTTGGCAGGAGCTGGGACAAGCGACGGGAGCTCACTTCCTCACATAGATTCGACCTTACAACTGCTGGTCTTCTGACCCTGCAGCACAGAGGCTTCTGTGGTTTAACCTGCCACCACATCCCTCTTTTTAAGGCTTAGTAGAAGACAAAGTGCTTTCTGTTTCAGATGCAATTTTCTGGTCCTGAGCTTCAGGGGTTCTTAAAATAACCAACTTTTTAATAGCAAAGTGATATTACTCTTCTAATTGATATTAGTGTTGTTGTTTAGTCTTTAAGTTATGTCGGATTCTTTGTGACCTCATGGACCAGAGCACACCAGGCCCTCTTGTCTTCCACTGCCTCTCGGAGTTGGGTCAAATTCATGTTGTTCGCTTCTATGACACTGTCCAACCATCTCGTCCTCTGTCGTCCCCTTCTCCTTTTGCCTTCACATTTTCCCAACATCAGGGTATTTTCCAGGGAGTCTTCTCTTCTCCTGAGATGGCCAAAGTATTGGAGTCTCAGCTTCAGGATCTGTCCTTCCAGTGAGCACTCAGGATTGATTTCCTTCAGAATTGATAGGTTTGTTCTCTTTGCAGTCCAGGGGACTCTCAAGAGTCTCCTCCAGCACCACAATTCAGAAGCATCAGTTCTTCGGCGGTCAGCCTTCTTTGTGGTCCAGTTCTCACTTCTATACATTGCTACTGGAAAAACCATAGCTTTGACTATGTGGATCTTTGTCAGCAAGGTGATTTCTCTGCTTTTTAAGATGCTATCTAGGTTTGTCATCGCTTTCCTTCTAAGAAGCAGGTGTCTTTTAATTTCGTGGCTGCTGTCACCATCTGCAGTGATCATTGAGCCCAGGAAAGTAAAATCTGTCGCTGCCTCCATATCTTACCCTTCGATTTGCCAGGAGGTGATGGGACCAGTGGCCATGATCTTAGTTTTTTTGATGTTGAGCTTCAGACCATTTTGATGTTAAGCTTTCAGACTCTCTTTCACCCTCATTACAAGGTTCTTTAATTCCTCCTCACTTTCTGCCATCAGAGTGGTATCATCTGCATATCTGAGGTTGTTATTTCTTCTGGCAATCTTAATTCCGGTTTGGGATTCATCCAGTCCTGCCTTTCGCATAATGTATTCTGCATATAATTTAAGTAAAAATGGGGGACAATATACAGCCTTGTCATACTCCTTTCCCAATTTTGAACCAATCAGTTGTTCCATATCCAGTTCTAATTGTTGCTTCCTGTCCCACATATAGATTTCTCAGGAGATAGGCACTCCCATTTCTTTAAGAACTTGCCATAGTTTGTTGTGGTCCACACAGTCAAAGGCTTTTGTGTAGTCAATGAAATTGATATTAGTACAGTAGTTTGTCATAATTATAAAAGAAATTCTCTACAGACAATATGTTTTCTGTTCAAGAGCTGGGATGGGATTGGGGAAACTTTGGGATTGTCAGATAAAATGACAGACTATAATTGTCTAGAAAAGAACTAAGATTATAAGATAGACACTACTTACTACCAAATTTCACCAGTCATCTCTTGCCCACTTTCTCCCTTATGGACTATGGTCAGCAAGACCAAACTGTCTCATAGTAGATGGGAGAATAGGATGAACTTGAGAACTAGTGGAAGCCTGTAGACAGAGGCATAGTCTTGTATCCTTCTTGATGACCTGAATATTAAAAAATACATACAGAATCTCCTAGTACCCTAGTTTCTGTATCTGGACATTTCTATATGTGTCAGAATTTCAACCAGAAATTGTACATTTACAGTTTAAAAGTATGCTAAAATGTAGAGATTGGCAGAAGAGGAATTTTCTTTTTCTGCAGCAGGATACTGAGGAAACTTGTGTCTTTTGTGTAGGAAGCTGTAGCACCAGTGACGAAGTATCCTCTCCCGCAAGGACCTGGTGATATAGTCATGATACAATCTGAATACACAGGTGCAGTGGATGTCCTCTCAGCCGAGCTGGAAACTACAGACTTGCTGGGTGAGCAGAAGAAAGGTGAGGACTTGCATTGCTCACTCTCAGTATTGATCAGTAGTCAGAGTTCTGTGCAATAAATACTTGTAACTTAATGTCCTTTTCTCTTGTATTGTTCATTGTAAATCTTGCTGGCAGTAGTGGATGTTACATGAAGAAAAGTAGAACAGGTGACTTTTAGAAACATTATTTCAGTCTTGCGATTGATGGTTGGTTGGTTTATTTTTTATTCTTTCCTACTATTTTTATGCTGTTCCGTTGGTACAAGCACTACACTGAGCAGCTTACACACAATTAAAACTTACAAACACTCAGTACCCCACAATAACAAAAAATACATTCAAAAACAATATGACAATACAAAAGACGATAATTATAACCATAAATATGAATAATCCTATAAAATCTGTAATTGATTTTTAAAAGCTGTTTTTGACAACATCCCAGATATTCAGTTATAAAGGCCACTTTAAATATTTTGGTCTTTACTGTCTTTGTAAACATAATGAGGGAAGGAGCCAGACGTCCCTCTGTTAGCTTTTTGTTCCAGATGCTTAGGGGCCACAATAGAAAAGGCATGATTCCTTGTATTCACCTTTTTTGGCCTCCCTCCATGTAGTAACTTTTACTAACGTGGCTTGAGAGAAGCAGATGGAACAGATAGCTGATTTCTGGGATTAAACTTTCCAGTCCTATTAATGGATACCTCCACTGCTGATCACAAACCATTGACATTATTCCTTTTTTTTTTTTTTTAAGCTCGTCCACCTCCTTTGATACCACCCACTACCTGGACAAGCTCCAAGATAAGAGAGTTCAAAATGAAGATGGCAAAGGAAAAGAATTCCCGAATGGTGGTGAAACGGGGTGAGGTCTTAACAGTCCGGGTGCCAACTCACCCTGATGGAAAGCGTGTCTGCTGGGAGTTTGCCACAGAAGATTATGATATTGGCTTTGGGGTCTATTTTGATTGGACCTCTATTACTAGTACTGCCATTACTGTGCAGGTCAGTGAATCAAGTGATGAAGAAGATGAAGATGAAGAGTTTGAAGGTCAGTGGGCAATTTGGTATGGGGCACAAAGATTCAATATCAGAATGTCTGTCTGTTTCAGTATATCTTCCATGGATTCATATTATTCACATTTTGTTTATGTTTCTACAGCCAAATGAAGTTTCTGAAACTTTTATTCTTCACTGCTTTCCTTTTGTTAGATGTTTCAGCAGTTCTGTTTTTTCAAGAATGTATATCCTGACATACCCAATAGGTTCAGAAAATGAAAGCATGAAAAAATCAGTGATTTTATTATTATCTAAAATCAGCATCATGGTTACAAACAAGTTGTTTCAACAATGCCACTAAAGTTGAACATTTCACCACTTTCAAGACTGCTTTAAAACTTGCATTGTCATCAAGAATTAAAAAAATTACTTTGATATGGTTCCCAGCTAGTCACTAAAGCACTTGTGCTGCTTTATTTTATCAGTAGAATCATGCCATGTATTTCTTTCAGACCATTCTCAGGACTGTCAAGAAGAGAATGAGAAAGAAAACAAAGCTAATAACAAAACATTAACAGTCTTATAGAAACCCTTGACAGGCCTTTTGGAACAAACAGATTGTATTTTTTTCCTTAATATGTTGCAAGAATCCTCACAATTAGGTGGTCAATTCTAGAGACTTGGAACCACTGCAAAAATTGTTTATTTTTTCCTTATTTCCCTTGTTGGGACTAGGTCTAACAACGACTGCCTTCCTATCTTTGTTTCACATGTTGTTCCTTTATTTGTTCTCAGTGTGGTATAGCTTGGCTGTACCTTTTATGCCACCTTTTATAGACAGGCCTTCTCTCTGGGCATTACTTAACTTACCTCTTCTTTTCTTCTATTTTTAACTATCGTTTGTATAAATGTTGAAAATTGTCAATACATATTAACTGTTTTTTATTGTTTTTTCTGAGCTGCCCAAAGTAGACTATGTCTAAATGGGTGGCGTATAAGTTTAATAAATGAAATAAAATAAATAATAATAAAAAGTGTCAGGAAAACCTGAATTCAGCCAGAAATATGCTTAATTCTTTTTTCTGGTATTCATGGAATTCATGTGTTTATTCTGAGTACTGAAAATGTAACTTGTAGGTTTAATAGTCCAAATATTTCAGGTGTAAACAGGTTAAGAATAGAGATGGTTTTCGTACAAAGCACAACACTACTCTGGTGAGGAGGTGGGACAGGGAATCTCTCTGCACAGCCAATAAATGGTTGGCTGCTTGGAGAGGTGGGGAAAGGCTGGCTGGGCTCCCATCTGGATTGGAGCAATGCTGCCAAAGAAGGAGGCTGGGCTTCCATCTGGATTGGAGCAATGCTGGCAAAGAAGGATCCTAGTAGCATGTGGAGCCCTGTAAGTGGACCGGAAGGCCTAGGGGGAGGGAGATGGAACTCAGCACCACCGCTGGTGCCATTTTTCATACAAAGCTCAAAACAGTGTGTTTGTGTGTATGTAATACTGAGCAGGGCTATTGAGGACAGAACATTTTGGAGATTTCCATCTGGATTGGAGCAATGCTGGCAAAGAAGGATCCTAGTAGCATGTGGAGCCCTGTAAGTGGACCGGAAGGCCTAGGGGGAGGGAGATGGAACTCAGCACCACCGCTGGTGCCATTTTTCATACAAAGCTCAAAACAGTGTGTTTGTGTGTATGTAATACTGAGCAGGGCTATTGAGGACAGAACATTTTGGAGATTGCTCATTCATTGGGTTGCCGTTAAGTCCGAGGCAAGTTGACAGCACTTAACAACCACAACAATATTGCCATGTAATAGAACTAATGTGATATAGTACTGAATGTTGGACTGGGTACATGTGAAACCCATGTTCACATTGCTGCTCAGTCACAAAATGTCACTGGGTGACCATGGGTCAGTTCATCTCTCACAAGCGCTTGTATGCTGCCTTGAGCTTATTGGAATATACATGCAGATGATGATGGTTAGAATTGTGTTGGATTTTGAACAGGTATTTTTTTGATGGGGTGAATCTTAAATTGCATAGTTATCAGGTGGTTAGAGAGCCATGGCCCAGTATGTGGCATACTGTTTTCTTCATGTAGCCTTCTTTGGTCATTCATTCTCATGACCCTGAATTTTTATGCTGACTGCTGACTGTTTTAGGTGACAAGATGTTATGCATTTTTCTTCTCAGGACCTATTCCTGTGGGTGATGTTGAAAGGGGCTCGAGAAGCTATTTGCGAAACCGTTATGGAGAGATCATGCCTGTTTACCGAAGAGACAGCCACCAGGAAGTACAGATAGGTAGTCATAATTACCCAGGTGAAGGCATCTATTTGCTGAAATTTGACAACTCCTACTCTCTCCTACGCAACAAGATTCTCTTCTTCCATGTCTATTATACCAGCTAAATGGGTTTTTCAAACGGATGAGACACAAGGCACCAAAGTTACCATTTGATGGCAAAATCTTGTACTGATTTCTATGTTTATTGCACATGACTTCTTTCTACTATACCATCCTGTTAAGGTGGTAAAAGCAATCACAGGCAGATCCTCTGTCTTCTAGGCAGACACCATGTTGGGATTTAACTTGCAGCAAGCAAGCTACTGGACACATGGTTCAAACATCTGCTTTTCTTTTCTATCACACTTACATGAACTGAAGTTGAAATATGTCTTTTCTTTCTAGATAAATATATTATCACCCTACTGACTGCAAAGAATGGAATTACTGCCAAAACAGCCTGTACAATTGTGTTCTAGAACTGTGTTTTTAATGTGATGTGGTACACTGCCATTTGCTTTGTCTTTGGGGATCTTTGAAATAGAATGCATATATGCCATCCATGTTATTGCCAGACTGGTTCCTTTCTTCTGGTTCCAGAAACTGTGACATGTTCACTGCAAAGTACAGCTGGCGCTTGTTTGCTGGATTTCCTTCTTTCGCTGCATGGGTTCTCTCTCTCTACAGGGAACAAAATAACCATGGGAGAAGGAAGCATGAACGAGATAATTCTGCTTTTGGAAAATAGTGAAGAAAGTTATTACTAGAAAGGTTCTCCCCTATCCCTCCCACACATCTTTATAGACACAATGTGCTACTATATCGGTTGATACATTTGTATGAATTCAGTGTAGCTTTAGGTAAATTGGAACAGCACTAAATTTCTTAACAAGTGGATGCCTAGGGCCACAGTCCCTTGTTTCAAGTGACATTTTTGGTTAAGCTTTTGAAATAAACTTCACTTCAGGAAGACATTAACACTGGGAAAATAAAAATTTTCTGCTGCTCTGCTCTTCTTATATAGTTATATATTTTAACTTTCTGTGTTTTTCCTATGCTTAATTGGGTGCCCCACAGCAAGAATTCTACCCAAAAGAAGACTTTTCTACCCATGTCTCTGAGTATCTAGCACCCAAGCTCAACCATGCACAAGATAATACAGCATAAGAAAATGTTGCTGAAGAATGTGATAACCCTCTCTGTCAAGTCTGCTTGATTACTGACCTCCAAGTCCTTTTGCTGATTCAGTAAATTTTTCTGGAGTGTGGTATGGTGCCAAAAAATGGGGACTATTTTTTAATCCATTCATTGTTTAGAATCTCACATCTTTAAGCAGTAAATATATAACCTATATAGTTATTCAGACTTCAACACTGGTCTTGAATGCAGCATAGGTAGCACAACCCCTGGTTCCTCTTCAGAGCACTTGCATCACCTGTCATTCATCGCTCAGGTGTTACAGGATGTATGTTCAGCAGAAGACTTATATATGTATTTATTAAGAATTTAGATGCAAATTTGAGTATGCCTTTCAAAGCAGCTGCTGCCTATATTGTTTTGTCTGATGTGTATTCTTGTCTTTGTGTATGATTGTAGCAAACGTTCACGGTTTGTAGTGAATTTTTGGAGACCTTCCTGGAGAATTTGTTGTTAATACAGTTTTAGTAATGGGAGGCCTACAGCCAAAGAATCTGCCTTCTAAATAGATTGTCATTCCCTAAAAAATGCTGTGTTAAGTGCTTTCCTTGGCAAGGCAAATTACATAGTTAGAAAAGGAAATATGGAAAGGGATGGCACAATTATTTCTAGTTAAAGTTATTTCGAGGAAGAAACAGTTTAATAAATAAAAAACAAAGACTTTCAAAGAAATTTAGACAGGTATTATACATTTTAAAGGGGGGCAGGTGAAGATACACTTACCAAATTTGTTTTTATGCAACGCAAAATTAGAAGGACACACACACAGTAAAATCATTTTAGGTTAATAGCACGAGAAGCACAGACTATTAAAATGGCAAAGTTTGCTTGGTTTTTAAAAAAAGGAATGATGGGCATTTCAGTAGCAACAAAAGTGGAACTGCATTTTTCTTTTCCATAAGTAACCGCAACAGATACTTCTTCAAAGTAGTCTTGGAAAGCCTTCCAAAAGACTATCTTGATCTCCTGGCTGTATAACTAGGAAGCAGATTTTAAACAACCTTCCTATTCTGAAATATTATTTATTCCCTTTTTAAATTGTTACTCAGATAATTTTCCCTTAATCTCTTGACTTTCCACCCTAGACAGAATGTACATAGTTCACTGTGCATTTTCACTATAAGAACTCTGCTTTATTTAGTTCTTCAGAAAAGAAAGGGAGCTTATATATATCGAATGTGCACATTTATTTGTTATTAACAACATAGTTGTTTTAAAGTCTGGTTTCTTTTTTACCTCCAGAAAAATAAGAATAGTTCTTTGGAGCAAAATAATTCTTTATCTAGTGTTTACACCACAGTGGCTGAAATCTAGCAGTAAGTTGCAACTAGTGGGCATTTGGGGAGTCAAAACCTGTATAAACTCTATTTATTCCAGGTTTATTCCAGTTTTGACTTGCTACTGGATTTCAGACAATGTCTGCTTACAGACTTCATACATGAAGTTAATTTTGCCTGTTCTGTCTGAAAATCTAGAAAGCAGGATTTCCTTCTATCTAGAAATAGTTGATTTTGGAAAAGAAAATACAGTTTGAAAGTGGAACAAGACAGAACTTGTAGTAGGTTTCAACTAAGTAAATATGTTCTGTGCAATTTGGTTTCAACTCTGTTCTTGAGCAATGAATTTAAAATGGTCTCTTTCTTAGAAACTTTTTGTCCATAGCCAAAAATGTACTGTAAAGTTTAAAATAAAGTTGAAGATTAATACCATAACATATTAGACCCAGGACATGGATTGTACTTTGTATAAAGCTTTTTGTGCTTCATAATATATATCTACTGATGAGCAGCAGGTATTTTTTAGTCCAAGGACCTTGAGTAATGTATCTGCATGAAGGTTCTAGGTAGTCTTTTGTTGACATACAGTACTGACTAGGCTTACACCTGCTATGTTGTAGAGATGATATCAAGTTAAATGTTGCAATAGATGACCTTTCTTCTTGTAATTAATGAAGAAAGAGCAATAAAAATCTACATGTGCTTTTTCATTACAGACTCAAAATCCCTCTAGGCTCCTAATGTTGGCAAGTTAATTCTATGGGCAATATCTAAGGCAAACAAACATCCATATGGAATCAACACAAGTACCTTTTCAATATTATATATGCATTATTGTAGATGAAACATAGAATTTCAGACATCAGAATTTATCAGTGATAATGTCAGGCTTGGTGTTGAAAGCTGAGATAGAACTTTCTAAAACAGAACAGAAATAAATGTATGAGAATGTCATAGTTTATGCACTTTGACACCTGCCTCATTTTTATGATATATGCCAAACAAAATGTCAGGCACTTTCACTCAGCAGTGTACAGAATGAGCAGGTCTAAATTAGAAGTAAATGTGGCAATTAAAGATGGGGAGCACTGTCATGTCCTCCATTCAATTTCTGATCTCAGGGGTTGGGACATATCTAGCTCTTTAAAATGGCTTGGTTCTCGTTTCTTTTTTCTTTGCGTTTTTTCCTTAGTTTTTTTTTCTTGTTTTGCTTCTTCCTCTTACAAGCATAAATATTTTATTAATACGTTTATTTCATATATTTATTGCTCTTAAGTTTACATAGTATTTTCCTTTGGTATTACGAAGATTACCATACTGTGATCACTTGAGGCTTATCATTCTCTTGATGCTACATAGGAAATATTAAAGCTGCCTTGCATGTCTCCTTCATCAGAATTAAATTAGAAAGGAACGAATTCACAAAGAGCTGTGTAATACAGAACTAAAAAAAAATTTCAATCCTGTACAAACTTACCTAGGACTTATTTCTGAACAGACCAGTAGAGAATTGTGTTGTAAATCTGCTAATACACAAGGATGTTTGCCTTCAAAGCATATTCCTGTTACTTTCCCTACAGGCTTTATAGCAGCTTAGGAATAGTTCACTTGGATGATATAAGTACTTTCATGTATCTTTTCTTTTGATCAGGAAGACAAGGTTAGCATATAGTGCTTGGTATGAAACCTCCAAGACAAGAGGCTGAGTATTCTGTGTCTAATGCAGAGGGTCATTTTGGGGAAATCAGTGGAGCAATCTTTCTGTATTATCTTAAATCATATTTTGGTCTTAAGTTGGCCATTTTTATTACTTGATTTACTTGCCATGACCTATAGATAAGAGTAAATGCTGGCAGGCAGGTTTTTTGTAGGTTTTTCTTATAAAAACGTCCATATTCAAAATACTGAGCCTCCTTTGCAATGAAGCATAGAGAATTGCTCTTGATCAAATGTCATTTGTAGAGTAAATAACCAAGTGCATAATATTATTAACTTCTTTATACAGGAGTCCTTTTAGAAGTTATTTGGGCAGATACACCAGATGACACAAGATGCTGATTGTGAGATCTACTTGGATTTAAAACTATCCACAGTCTTCACTTAGCTGCAATTCATGCAAGTTAGTGGATGCATATTTAAGTCTTGCTGATCTATGTAATTCATTTCTGAGGTAATGATCTTTAGCAGTATAAAACTGCTGTAGTGGCCCACAACATAATGGCCGGAAGGTGAAGGAATTAAGCTAGTCCTGTGGATGTAGCTGAAAGCCATTGTACAATGCTACAGCAAAATTAATTCTATATGAGGTTGGAGTCAGACCATTGGTGCATCTAACCCAGTACATTCTCATCTGAATGACAGCTATCTCCTGAGGTATTAGGTAAGGATCTTGGCCTGCCTTGCTACCAGATTTTTTTTAGATTGGAGATGACAATAAAAGCTAAATGCATGAAATATAACGCACATAGCTATGTGCTTTGGATTCCATCTTATGTACCATCTTATGATACCACTATAATATATTGAAATAAATGTTTTAGACTTAGGACAATAATGAAGAGGTTTCTGACCTGTTCAGATCTAGGCTAACATTTAACAAATCAGAACTTTATACTGTGTTTCCCCGAAAATAATATTTTTTGCTCCAAAAAAACGCATAAGGGCTTATTTTCAGGGGACGTTTTTTCATGTGCAACAATCTACATTTATTCAAATACACTCATGTCATCAAACTAAGGCTTATTTTGGGGGTAAGGCTAATATTACGAGCATCCTGAAAAATACTAGGGCTTATTTGCAGCTTTTGTCTTATTTTTGGAGAAACAGGGTAGTAGACATGTTAGTCACACTGAATGAAAATTACGTTTTGTCCTATTTTTGGGGAAACAGGGTAGTAGACATGTTAGTCACACTGAATGAAAATTACTGCCCAGAATCATATTAGGAATTTATGCCAATATGACTGTAACTGTCAGAATGCTAACTTGGCATTCTTTTTCTGGAAATGGTGGGACTTTTTTTTCCTTTTGTGATATATGTGATGATTTTTCTTCTTACTCTGTAACGTTATATGTAACGTATGCTGCCTCTATTTCTCCCATTCATTATTTTCTTTAGTCTGAGAGGGTATTTTATTAAGTTGTGGCACTGAATCATATGTTACGGTACTGGCTAGTTAATGTCTTGGGAGGGTGTGTGCTGTTCCTTTCAGAAGCCGGTTAATGTCTGTTACATTGTGTGAAGTAATTGTTTTGTTACTCTATGTCTGACAAAAATTTGTTTCATTAAACATTTTCATCATACAGCTGAGGTCCTATGTGTTTGGTTTGTTGTTATAAAGAGTGATGTGTTGATGGGTAGTTCTCAATATCAAAGGAAAAATGATGAAATGCTCCATTTTACTTCTGTCAGCAGAAAGAATTCAGTTTCACAATTATTTTGACAAAAGGAAATGTAGATCTTACATCCCAAATGGCTGTAATCCAGAGAGCATTATTAAACATGTATTGTGCACTGTCACACAGAGAAGTTTGAGTATTAGAGTACTGTATACTGCTAAAGAAAACTTTCAAGGAAAACATTCAGTCATCCCATCACAAGGGTTTGGTATGCAACTAACTACAGTACTTGGGAAAGCCCAGTCTTATTTTAGCCTGCCTATAATAATAAAAGAGAATGCATGTCTACCTCCTAGCATGTCTACCTTCCCAACCTTCAGTGTCCCAGATATCTTTGGACTACAATTCCCGGAAGACTTCACCACTAGCTGTGCTGCCTGGGGTTTCTGGGCGTTGCAGTCCAAGAACACCTGGTTTACCCAAGGCTAGGAACCACTGTCCTAAAACCATAGTTCCAAGACCAGGAAACAAGCACACTTGAGATTTAGCATATGTATTAAGATGACCGAAGGGACTGGAATTTATGATAGGGAGTAGATCTTCCTAGCCATTATATATCTTTGAGTCAGTACAGTTTCGACCGAAGGGATTGGAATTTATGATAGAAAGTAGATCTTCCATTATATATCTTTGAGTCAGTACAGTTTGAAGCCTGGGAGTGAGTCACCAGAGACATTGCCTATTGAAACATGTGGATGTCAGAACCTGATCAGGATAACTTGACTCCCCAAAGGTCCTACAGAGATTTATAGGCCTCCTAGGCAAAGAGAACAGATTCTCTGATTCGTCACAGCTGACATTATCCTAGTAAAGTGTTGATACCAGAATGAAATCAATAATTAGTATTAGGCTATTGCAGACTTCTCCTCTGGGCATCTCATTTAAGGATTTTCCATTGTTGTGATCATTCCAGGCAACTCCAGAACCTGTTAATCATGTACAAGTTCTAGTTATTTGCATTATCTCTAGGTTCCATATGAAAAACATAAAATCCATAAATTATCAAAGACAGGTTTACACTTTTGAAGAAAAAACTAAAGGCATATATGCTTAAAATCCAAAAATCATACAGTTATGCAAAACCATTGGCTTGAAATACACCCTTGCAACTTGTAAAAAATGGAGGTATTTAAACTTTTACAAGCAACATTTAAGCCATGTATGAATTAAAATACAAATGCATCGAAGCAGAGGAGCTCATAACCTACAATGGCGGAGAATAAGTTTTTAGAACACTTCAGGGTTTTTAATAAAATAACAAGCAAAAAGCCTTACAATTTTGAATGAAAGGCATTCAAAAAAACTTAAACTTTAAAAGTAAAAATATTCAATGTAAAAAGCATTATTTAACATACAGAAAAATATTTTCTCATCATGCCTTTAGCCAATTAATAGTTATTTTGTGTCCCATGTTATCTCCTGGCTGCTCTTAATCCCTATGTGTCTTTTGTTTGCTTCAAACAGAATGACTCTCTTTTTTACATCCGTGCATGAGAGCCCTGTATTGATATTTATATCAAGAAACTTTGTCGGAGTTTATACTTTTTAACCAATGAGAAGCCTATGTGTTTAAAGTCAAGATGCCCCTCCTCCCAGGATTCTCTCATCCCAGTTTCTTGTATCTCCTAGGCTTTGCTTGTCAAGCTCCTTGAGAGCCCAGTGCCTGGCCTTAAAACTCAGAGTAAAATTCTCCCTCCCTTAGACTGATGTAATACACTGGCAATTTGCATATTTTATATGCATATTTCATTCATAAATACTATAGAATATATTCTTTTAAAAACAAATATTGTTAATCATGAGGCTAAAGCATTATAAAATAAGAGATACCTTTGTTTTTCTTCTATTTTTGCTTATTATTTAACAAACTGCTTAAAATAACCATCCTTTTATATTATGTTGGAAACTCTTCTATTTTACAATACACAATTTTTCTAATTTGTTTAATAGAGGTTTCCACATCTACTTTGTGGCATTTGTTAATTAACATTTAGGTAAACATAACTCAAGCAGCAAAAATAAAATGCACTTCATTTTTTTTTATCTATTGTCCTTTTTCACATAACATCACTCATCATGAAAACTGGCATGAAACTCAATTACCTATTCCTGCCTTTTAGCGGTTACCTGTACCAAAACAATTGGCTGTTTGGTTTTTATTTTGTAATATCAACAATTTTCACAGAGTAGGTTTCTAAATCCCTTCACAGACTGCTGCCTTGTCATGGCGAAGGGACTTTAGCAATTCAGAGAAGCTATGGGCTATGCCGTACAGGGACACCCAAGACGGACAGGTCATAGTGGGGAGTTCTGACTAAACGTGATCCACCCGGAGCAGGAACTGGCATACCACTACAGTATCTTTGCCAAGAAAACTCCATGGACAAAAACAAAAGGCTATGTGATGCTGGAAGATGAGTCCCTCAGGTCAGAAGGCGTCCAACATGCTACTGAGGAACAGCGGAGGACAAGGACAAGTAACTCCAGAGCTAATGAAGTGGTTGGGCCAAAGCCAAAAGGACGCTCAGCTGTGGACGCGCCTGGAAGTGAAAGGAAAATCTGATGCTGCAAAGAAAAATGCTGCATAGGAACCTGGAATGTAAGAACTATGAACCTTGTGAAGCTGGATGTGGTCAAACAGGAGATGGCATGAATAAACATTGACATCCTGGGTGACAATGAACTAAAATGGACAGGAATGGGCGAATTCAATTCAGATGATTATCATATCTACTATTGCGGGCAAGAAGCCCGTAGAAGAAATGGAGTAGCCCTCATAGTCAACAAAAGAGTGGGAAACACTGTACTGGGATACAATCTCAAAAATGATAGAATGATTTCAATACGGATCCAAGGCAGACCTTTCAACATCACAGTAATCCAAGTTTATGCACTAACCACCAATGCTGAAGAGGCTGAAACTGACCATTTCTACGAAGACTTACAGGACGTGGTGGCGATGCGGGCTAAACCGCAGAAGCCTTTGTGTGCTGCAGAGTCAGAAGACCAGCAGTAATAAGATCGATTCCACGCAACAAAGTGAGCTCCCGTCGCTTTGTCCCAGCTCCTCGCCAACCTAGCAGTTCGAAAGCATGTAAATGTGAGTAGATAAATAGGTACCACCTCAGTGGGAAGGTAAAGAGCGTTCCGTGAATAGCCGGGCTGGCCACATGACAACAGAAACTGTCTTCGGACAAACGCTGGCTCTACGGCTTGGAAACGGGGATGAGCACCACCCCCTAGAGTCGGACATCACTGGACTAAAAAAATGTCAAGGGGAACCTTTACCTTTACTATGAAGACTTACAACACCTTCTAGAACTGACACCAAAGAAAGATGTTCTTCTCATT